GATGATGATATGCAAATTAATAATAATAGTAATTTTGTATGTCCTCATTTGTACCAGTGTACGTACTAAAAAAAAACATACTTCATTAAGGGAAACGTACTAAAAAAAGGACAATCAGGCGAGTTGCAACTGAAAAAGATGAGAAAGATCAGATTTTAGACAGACATTGTGAATAGCAGTTCGTTCGCGAGTGAAATAAAAAAGTTGGCAAGAAAGTTGGCAAGATGAAGCCATCCGACAATGGCGTCGGTAGCATTGGTGCTCAGCACGGAAAACAAGATCGACGGAAAACGACCCAAAGGAAAAAAATAATTGATTATTTTTTGTTCACTGTACACCACCAATTTGAGTGCAGAACATGTTTGAAACGATGGGTGATGATCCTCTGGAAAAGCTAATGCTTACTTGGCATGATAAAGGTTGCTCACGAAAAAATGCAGAGACATTAAAAACGATACCAGATGTAAAGGGTGTCCACGATGAAATTGCCACACTATGAAATTGCTCTAACTTTTTAACCGTTGGGTAGAATTTAAAACATCCTGCAAGTTTTAAAGTCCTGTGATCAAAACTCGCGGAAATGGAGTCGAAAGAACAGCTCGTGCGTGATAAAATCTTGCGCATTCATCACGAGAACAAGGATCTCTCGCATCGTTCCATCGCTAAAACGTTGGGAATCGCGAATTCCACGGTGTCGCGAGTGATTAAGCGGTTCGAGGAACGGTTGACCACCGATCGGAAGCCCAGAAGTGAAGGAAAAAGTATTCCGTACAACACCAAAAATCACAACCGCGTAGTTGGGGCCTTCAACCAAAATCCGAACGCCTCCGTTAGGGATGTGGCTAAGAAGCTGCACCTAAGCCGAAGTTTTGTCCAGAAGGCCAAAACTAAGGCTGGGCTTCGAACGTTCAAGGTACAAAAGGTCCCTAATCGCGACGAGAAGCAGAACAAGTCCGCCAAAACCCGTGCCAGGAAGTTGTACCTCAACATGCTGACGAAAGTTGAATGCTGCATCATGGACGACGAAACATATGTGAAGGCCGACTTCAAACAGATCCCCGGCAACCTGTTTTTCACGGCCAAGGATAAGTTCAGCGTTCCGGAGCATGTCCGCACTCAGAAGATGTCCAAATTTGCGAAGAAATTCCTGGTTTGGCAAGCCATCTGCACGTGCGGGAAGCGGAGTGCACCTTTCGTGACCCAGGACACGATGAACGGACAGGTGTACATAAAAGAGTGCCTCCAGAAGCGGCTGCTTCCTCTCCTGAAGGCCCACAACGTCCCAACAATCTTCTGGCCGGATTTGGCCGCATGCCACTACTCCAAGGACGTGCTGAAGTGGTATGCGGACAATAAGGTCAATTTCGTGCCGAAAATGTTCAACCCTCCCAACACTCCGGAGCTCCGCCCCATCGAGAAGTACTGGGCGATTATGAAGCAGCACCTTCTTAAACGACCTAAGGTAGTGAAGACAGTCGAGGAACTGAAGAAAGTATGGGTTTACATGCAAAAAACGGTTGATTCACAGGTTGTGCAGAATCTTATGGCCGGGGTTAAGGCCAAGGTGCGGGCATTTGCGTATGGACTGTAAATAAAATACGAGTAAAATGGTAAAATGAAGTTTAATAGTTATTTCTCAATCCCTGAAAATTTGATGGCAATCGGATGAAAACTCGAATTTTGCGAATCAATTTTGTGTGTGGCAATTTCATCGTGGACACCCTTTAGAACCTTAACAAAGGGTAAATATTTTATTTTCTTCTTTTTTTTATATTATTCGATCATTATTTTCTAAATGTATTGGTAAAATTCAGTTCAATGCATTTCACCACGCCCAAACTGTTCATGTTTTGTAAATATCAACTGGTATGGTGAGGAAAATTTAAGCATCTCTTTTCTTCCTTCATTTCAATAAAACATCAAATGTGACGTCACACTACCTAGTGCATAATACCCAATGGCACGGCCATTGGTTCTTGAAGCTGCCGTCAGTGATAGCGGTAGCATTGATGTCGGAATGATTTTAAGCTTCAGTCATACGTTACCATCATCATGGCTTGCGATGAGTTTCACCTATCCGAGTATGACCAACCGATAGGACGGCCATTATTTCTTGAAGCTATCGTGAACTCACTTGCATGCACTGCTTTCTCATAATTTCATAGAGCGATAGAAACGCAACTGAAAAACACCGAAAGAACAATTGAAAAAAACTTTTTAATAACTTGACAAATTTTCATCAATACCATAACGTTGCCATGGCCGTTCAAACAAACGCATAAACGGAACTGAAACTCGTTATGTTTACATCAGCGGTCAATAACTGACGTATAATCGAACCAAAGAGCCAAAAAAATCGGCTTCAAGCAAAGTGTTGGATGACTTTTGTGCCACCGGAGTGATAATACCATAGAGGTAACTCTAAGACCACTGGGTCCCGAAGAAAATCATTATTATTTTTGGCTCACTCAGTAACAGAACAACGGTCCCAAGCAGTCCCAAGCTATTTCACTCACCCCTGCATGAATCCACACACCCCTGATGTTATCTGTCAAACTTTCATAGCGAATCAAAACAAACATAGTGTAGTAATAGAATTTCAACTAGAATAGGGTACGTTAATCGTTTGCTTGGGACCAATAGGCTACTAAAGTGGTGAGCCAATTTAAAATCGTTAGTTTCGTATTGATTGTTGGTATAAGGATGTTGTAGACAAAACATTCACATTTCAAGACCACGCTGTGAGAAATTGTGTTTACACTTCTGATGGTGGTAAGCTCCAACTCTGATTAAATTCTGAACACGAAAGTAAGGCTGTTATGGTGTCGGCGTCAGTGTTAATCAATACGATCCTTGATAAACATTTGGTAGATCCAGCCCGGTATTGAAAGTTGATCCGAGTTGGAGCTTACTGTCATGAGAGGGAAAGCTAATGATAGATTACGTACACTGCTGCCATCTTTACTGTTAGTTTTTAATTGAATCTTCTGTAAAATTTTTAATTGGACCAGTAAAATGTCTAAAATAGTCGGTTTTGATTTTTTTTTTCAGTTTTTCATATTTATTCACCATAAAATACATCCACTCATCTATGCTAATGATTCAAACTTCACAATTACTTGTTTTAATAAACTTAAATTCGTTGCTAGAGGCAATACATCTGGCAACGCTTTTCAATGATACTTTCAGGATTGCTTCCAAAGCAGTGAAGTTGAAGTGGTTTTCTTGGTGATCAATTTTGTTCACATAGCTTTTTGAAGCAGTTGTTTTGAGTTTCGTGTATTCGATTGCGTGTAATTGTGCTATGCTTCGAAGAATACAAGTAAGTAAATACAGTTAATGTGTTTTATCCGGGAAATTTTGGTTATAAAAACATGAAATACATGTTGTAAATTTTTAACGGTGCCGGTGGTGTAGTGGTAAGCGTGATTACTTCTTACCCCAGCAGGCCTGGATTCAATCCCAGTCAGCGCCACCGGGATGTTCTGAAGCATGACATCTCTGATCACGCCGTCCTTTGGAAGGGAAGTAAAGCCGTTGGTCCCCGGTTCATGAGTTGATGGGTCGATAGGTAGGGTACCTGGCCTCTGACGTCGGTAGCATTGGTGCTCGGCACGGAAAACAAGATCGACGGAAAGCAAATCAAGGAAAAATAATAGAATCAATAGTGATTTTAGATAACATAAATCTGCTCCTTATTGATAAAAATCAATTATTTTGGACAAGTCACGTTACCTTAATCGAGAATCCCTTGTTTTTTTTTTCACCCCTTTGTTTTAACTCTCCAGCACCCATTTTTACCTCTATAAACGAGTTTTGGTAGAATATGAATGAAATGATCTTTATAATTATATGTTAGTATACTTAGTACGTCTAATGTTTAAGACAGCAGTTCTAAGTTTTGATGATTTCCTGCATTTTAAATTTTGGCTTGGATCTATCCGACACGAAAAAAAAACAACATGATGCACAAAATGAAATTCTAAATTATCATTTCAAAGTTCAGTCTTCGCTTTAATGTTATTATAACTGCCTAAATCTTTCAAGGAAACCATGAAATTTGCGTCTCTACTCTAGTTCGTTATATTGAGCCCATTGTCAAAATCAATGAAGACAAACAGCTGATGTAAAACAAATTCTACGGGCAAAGACTGAATTAATGAGACTATGCAGAAGTGAATTTAATATGACGAATTAGTTCCGCACCCTATCTATTCATAAACCAACAACGAATACAATACAAATTACGAAATTACCCACCGACCACCCAAAGGCAAATAACCAATTAGCCAATATTTTATGTATCTCCATGCAAACAAGTTTATTCGGTAAATTGCCAACCACAAATGCATTAATTATAGAAATAAGTGGAGTTAGATTATTGTAATAGAGGCACCCAATTCAGCTCCCAATCAAGCAAATTCATCAGCAACGAAATAATTGAATAATTATCTAAAACTGTTCAAGGTGCGGTTTTCGGATATTGGTTGATGTGGATCGTTTAGTTTTTTGCCACAACACTGTAAGCACTGACACGTTAATTATAATCCAATGGAATTAATATGATGAAGCTGCGGTGGAGAGCTCCTATCAATATTGTTCGCCAGGAAATTGAAAATGAGAGCGTCTGAGTTGTGCAACACTTTAAAACCCTACATTTCTTTTCCTCGGAACCATTCCTAGAGCTGTAACAACTTTCACCATAAAACATACCCCCTTTTTGCACTGTTCGTCGTTACTGTCTCTCACTGGTGCTTTACGAGATTAGCTTTCCCATGATTTATACTTTCGCTGGATTCCAACACTAGAGCATTTCACCATTTCCTAATCCCCCGGGAATACCCCCTGAACCTCCCTCAATATTCCCATGGGGTATCATCCCTCTCCAAGTACCTACTTACAAAATTCGGCTTCTCGAAATGTTCGCACAATAACGCTCACACTACCATACCAGCTTTTCTTACGTATTTTCCTTTTTGTATTTTGCTTTTTCTTTCCAGATCCACCAATCGTCTCGCTGCGGCTCGGTTCGACACTCTCGGCGGACGACATCAAGGATGGTGATGATGTTTACTTCGAGTGTCACGTCCAGGCGAACCCTCCGTGGAGGAAATTACACTGGCTTCACGACGTAAGTGTTATTTACGATGGTCACCAACCAACCAACCAGCAATTGCAGAACCAAAGAGCAGCAGTAGCAGCGTAGAATGGTGACCTCAGAAGGCAAAAGATGCTAGAGGGGTTGTCCATAAACTAGGTTAATTGCTTCGAGGTGCGGAGACCGGCGAGTGTCTACGATCCTCACAATGTTCGATCATTTTCATGGATGACTGCCTAATATCTATCAAACAACTGGTTACGTGGATTATGGACAACACTAGCCTTCTTGTAACATCACCATCTTCACATTTTCAGTTTGTCTGCTTCACACTCTTGACACCCCCTCCCATGACATGACACAGATAATTCGGGAAGACATCGATGGATTTCTTCTCAGGGGAAAAGCGCATTTCGCTTTTGAGCATGAAACTGCACAATGTTGTATGAAATGTATGTAGGGTAGGTTATATCTTCATCAGTTCGAATACCTGCTGTAGTCAGGGAGTTTTGGTCAGCAACTAACAACGACGTAAAACATCCAACTTTTGAGCAGAAGCATGAAGTGATTTGAAAAACCATTGCAGTAGATAGCTCCTCTCATCAAAATAATGATGAAATGGATGGCGTCGATGACATGACTGCCTCGCATCCCAACGGGCCTGGTTTCAACCCAAGCCAAAGTTCTTGAGATTTCCTGAAGCGAAAAATTCGGCGTATGCGATGATGGGTTCAATACTTAGAGTCTAGCCGTCTTTGTCCAGCGTGGATGATTAAATCAATCTAAGCAGCGTCCGCGTTTCTATTAGTATTTTCTTAGCGTCACGCACACATATGACGTGTTTGTTTGTTTACATTTATCTATTTTGCTTCTCTATCCATTCAAATTGGCAAAATTGTTCAAAACTGTTTGAAACCGTCTTTACTACGCTCCAAACTACTCAGGTGAGTATGACTATTTTCGGTGGAAGCGGGATATTTCACCGAAGGACGTTTCTCTAAAGGTCATTTCGCCGAAGACCAAGCCATTTTCTATGGTTTTGAACTTTTCTCAAAGCTTAGTAAATTTTGAGATCAGTCTCAAAAAAAGATGAAGAAGGTTCGATTTTTTCAACCTGGCAAACTATTCAAATGTAATGCTTCCTTCTTTTGAACATGAGCAGTTCTTTCGAGTTGTACTGATTTCAGATTTGTTTTTAGATAATCAATATTTTTGATCTATAGGAATGCTTCCTTCTTTTTAACATGAACAGTTCATTCTAGTTGCATTGGTTGCCTTATTTTCTAAATAATCAACATGTATAGGAATGTTTCCTTCTTTTAAACATGTTGTACTGATTTCAGAAATTTTTGAAAAATCAATATTTTTGATTTATACACATTTAAATTTTTGCCGAGATGGGCACCACCGAGCAGCTCGGCATTTTATTTTGCTGGATCTCAGTGTAAAACTTGCCGAGATTCAGCTAACAAACGGGAATTTTACCGAGATCTCAGCTAACAAACATACATTTTGCTGAATCTCGGCAAGTTTTTCACTCGGCAAAAAAATCTAAGTGTGTAGGAATGCTTCCTTCTTTTAATCATGAGCGGTTCTTTCGAGTTGCTTTACATGGGAATATCTATTATTTAAATGCGTTCCAAATTCATTTAAATTGTATATTGATTCAAAAGACCCATTCAGCGAAATGCCCTCCCCTTGGCTAGTTTTTGCACCTTGCTGTTGGTGGACGGGCTTAATTTCATGCTTTATAGTGGAGTGTTGGAGACGGTAGGTTTATGGCCGGCGTTGCTGGCTCAAGCCACGATAGAATGGCGTCATGGGCAGGCAATGGGGATTACTAAGCTTCCCCTCTCTGATAAACCACTGCATGAGAGAACCAAAGATCTAGTCTAGCAGTGATAGTATCACACTTGTTACTCCTTTAATTGAGAGCCGCGTCGTAGTACGCTTACGTATAGGCACTGACGTTGGGTGTGATACTGGCGGGTTTTGCCGCAAATCACTCTTATTTTATTTATTTTTACGGAGATAGATTTATTTGGGTTTGCAAGGGAATTATACTATTGAAATATTTCAGAAAGTGCCCAACGGTGCTCCTTCTATTTGCGTGACAAGCTTTCATTGTTGTTTTCATTGAAGTATTACTCAGGAAACAATGTTAAACATCATTTTTGTACATGGTATTGTAACTAATCTTATATGTGCTTCATTTTGATTTGGGATAAGTGTTTGAACTATGGCTCGAGATTTCCACTATGGTGTGCTTCTATTGTGACATACCCATATGTATTTTTGTGGTGTGACATAGTGGAAACGTGAGAGCGTAATTGGAGCATATACCCTATATAATTTAAAAATCAGCTAGGAAACTAACTTCAAAATGAAGCATTTTAGTCACATGAAGGTGTTATCTGGGTCGAACTAAGATATAATAAATAGGTATAGGCTTAAATCGAAAGTACTTGAAACACGTTTTATTTTAGATTACAAGCACAAGTGCAGGTACTTAATAAAGCATGGGTTATGCTTGATTAGGTGAATTAGAGCTTTTAATAATTTATTAAATTAGACTAATGAGATATCATAATCATCAAACGAACTTAAATAAGAAACTTCAGAAAGTCTAATGACATTAAGTAGATTAACAAAAGAATTAGGTCCGCTTAGGGAGTTGTAGAATGAATCTTCTTATTTAGTCTTGAACTTTAAAAAGAAAACGCAGGCAGACCAATAGCATTTAGCAGATTAACAAGGAGAGGAATAGTTTAGGAAATAAGTAAAAGTAGAGGTATGTGACAATTAATCACTTTTAAACTTTTGGAGGTATTTTATTCCCCTGAGTTTGTTGTACTCGATTACTATATAATTCTCTCAATACGCGAAATCTCTTATATATGCGGTTAAAGCATTTGAGTTAACTTATTTCTTAGTGTTCAAGTACTTACATTTTTAAACAGCAGTCAATGTTGATCTATGAACTAAACCATACGTAAAATCGATCTTTCCTTATGTGGTATTGATGCATGTTTAACTTTTCGCGCTGTCGGAATCAACGCGCCTACGTCTACGGAGCTTACGCAGAAGTGATTCGCAATGCGGTAGAGCTCACCAAAAGTTTTTTTGAGCTTCTGTAGTATATAATTAGTTCGGTACGGTCGGGAAATCTTGAAATGATTGATACGAGCGGTAAAATAACTAAATTGAAACAAAGCTCAACAGTAAAATAAGTAGAATATTTAGGGAGGAAACCAACATTAATCAACTTGCCAACATAGGCTATCACATTTATTTTGGTGGCACTCTTTAAATAATAATAAGCCTTTTTTCTCGCTTCGGTTGTCTCGCACGGCTTTCGGAATTCGCGCGGTTTTCGTAACTTACATAATTTAGATATTGCGTTCGAAACGGATTTACTTATTCAATCGGTTTACTACGCGGATGTATCTACGCGCACACGTCACAGCATTTTTTCTATAACTATCTTGAAACAATACATACGGAATCCAGTGTTCAAGCGGCCAACATAGGCTAGTCCTTCTGCTGTATTGTCAAAGATAGAAGCAAAATTTATTCAAATGGGTCAAGTCTTGAAAACTAAGCTGTCACGCAGCTCCAGCTTGATAACCAATAAAAAAAAAGACCCATTCGGTGAAATGTCCTTCGGTGCAAGATGCCACTCTCCCCAGTGTAAGCAGGGTGATGAGTGCTATTCTCCCCAGTGTAAGCAGGGTGATGAGTTGAAAAGACACCTCGCACTATGACAAAAGCAAACTCACCCGAGAGATTTTTATTTTGTTTTCACTTTCTACCGCTTCTCCCACTTCGCAAACAAATCAAGCTGAACATTGCATTAGGTCCTAAGTAACATTGATCGATTCTCTTCGTCGACTTTCTCTTTCATTAATAACTTGAGCACATAACCGTTTCTTGTTGTGTTTGTCGTTTTAGATGCTATATAAAAGCTTCTGTTATTGATCTGTGTGCTGTAAATAGCTAGGAATGTCTTTACATGGCCGTGGGGATACAAAGAGAAAGTCGACGAAGAGAATCTGTCAATGTTACTTAGGACCTAATGCAATGTTCAGCTTGAAATACAGTTTCTGACGTTCGCACCTACACCAGTCCAACACACCGGAGCGTATGAGTGATCACTAGGGAGCACCGTAGAGAGTTCGTTTGCTTCACCGGGGAGAATCACCCCGGTGCGCGGTGAAGATTTTGGTTGTAAGTTTGTTGCATACAAAGATGTTTTAAAGATTACTTTTTCTATTAACGTACAGTATGTAGTCAATTATTTGAAAATTTGGTAATATAACAATGTCCACATTTTGGAAATGCGAATACAGGAAGTGCATCAGCGCATCATTATTGAAATTTGCTTCAGTTTAGTCGACAGACAAACATGGGACAGAGATCGATTAGGATCACAGCGGGAGTTCCACAAGGCTCCATCCTTGGTCCAACGCTCTGGAACGGGATTTACAACGGCGTGCTAACGCTGAAGCTGCCCACATGAGTTGAGATCGTTGGATTTGCGGACGACGTCGTCTTGACGGTAACAGGCGAGACGCTGGAAGAGGTGGAAGTGTTGGCGACCGAGGTGATCGACATGATTAGTAACTGGATGCAAGGAGCGAAGTTGCAGATATCTCACCACAAAACTGAAGTGCTATTGGCCAGTAACTGTAAAGCGGTACAGCGGGCAGATATCACCGTCAGGGGCAAGCCATAACCTCAAAGCGTGTGTTGAAATACCTGGGAGTGATGATCGATGACCGACTAAACTTCAACAGCCACGTCGAATATGCCTGTGAGAAGGCTGTATACGTTGATGTTTTCACTCACTCACGTAAAGTTCTGCCGGAATCTTTGGAGAAATAATAACACCTTTACGCTGCCATCTTTCTCACGGAAGTGAGTGTATAAACAGATGAAATCGGTGAAATGACACAGCCCCATTGTCGGTATAGTCTCTTTTTCGTTGGCAATCTTTCCATTTGAACTGCGCGTTAACCAGCTGTTCTATTATCGGCAACTCAGCCGACACATTTAATTAATTTCCAATTTTCACGTATTTATAAGATAATAACCAAAATTGTAGGTTGGTTCTACACATTTATTTAGCCCAGAATACATATATTGGATCAACTTTTGGGGGTTGTTTGGTAAAACTCCCGACACTTTTGCTTCACACTATCTATAAGGGCTTGTAACAGTCGTAGCCGGTACCTTTGTCTACTGTTTTATCCATTTCCTCCGCATGTCATTTGGATCCTTTACTTTCTCCTTTCTGAGTTCCAGCTTCATCATGGCCCAATAGCTTTCGATTGGGCGTAGTTCTGGGCAATTCGGAGGATTCATGTCCTTGGGGACACAATGCACCGAATTAGCCTCATACCATTCCAGCATACTTTTAGAATAGTTACATGAAGCTAACCCGCATAATCGTAAACAATAAAAGGATGATCCACAGTATCATTACGTACCATAAATAAGTATATCCGGACGATTTTAGTCAGCGTGTATAAAAATGATAAGCATATAATACCATGAATTGTCCTGAGGATATCATATATTGTAATATGCAAAACAACTATATGGGATAATGGCGGTTAAGTATAATTACCATTCCATAACGTTGATATTTTAGAACAAAATTTCAGGTTTACTGTAAGACATATAGCTTTTTTATAATCAATTTTAAAATCATAAAACTATATGTCATAACATTCTGGAACATATGGATTATTAAATTTGGTTTTTAAAAGGAAAGTAAACGTTATACTCTGTAAATTTCCATATAAACTTCAAATGGTTTGTGCCAAGTCAGTTTCTTATCAAATGAGTTTAAACTTTCGGAGGCTAATCAGGACCCGATTTGAAACCGTTTGAACACTGTGGAGCGAAAATTTCAAATTTTGCATCAGTCTAATGAATTTTTTTTTTTTTTTATTATAGTCACTTTAACACTCTTGGGTCATTCGTGACTTGTCCGGGGGTGAGATTTGAACTCGTGACTTTGGCGTGAGAGGTATGGATGTTAACCACTACGCCGGGGTCGCCCCCCAGTCTAATGAACACATAGCTTCAATTAAGCGTATCTTTTTGCAAAACAAATCTAGCTGCAAACCCAACCCTTTTATCCAACATGAAATCTTTCATAGGAGCTTGTCTTTTTTTCACGTGGATCTCCGAAATTCAGCCAATAAATGGTAATAACAGGATAGATCAAGAACTCAATCATAATTGTGTGTGTGGTATAAGAGGCTTGGTGGCCTAATGGCGACGCGTTTATTCTCACTGAGCAGAATATCATGGGTGAAATCTCAGGCTTCTCAACTTGATGCGAACACACGAGTACATCACTGATCAAGATAAATTCTGATCTGCTATCTTTTCCCATGATCACAAGCGTGTGTTGAATGGGTGACAAAAAACTCCCAACCTAGCCTAATTTGAGAGCTGTTTTTGGAATTTTCAATACACCTGAAACTTAATTAAAACCCATTCACGACTAAAGTGGAGATGGCTAGCGTCAAATATCAGTTTTAAAGTGGTCATTTTATACAATAGATGAGGAGATGAAAGCATAGAGTTGATAGTTCCGTTATAGTACGGCAGTGTGAATATTGTATATAGAGAATAGAAAGCGAGCAAAGATCAATTTTGAGGAAGGCACGAATCAGGTTAAACATCTCCTATACCCAACTCCTCTGTTGGGGAGGGATGGTGAGGGGTATTTCGCCCACCACCACTGGCAAAAGAGATGATCGTCGATTTTCTCACGTATCTTCGATGTGCGGAAACAGTTCTGTCGATTGTTTCACACTCAAGTCGCCACTATCAACTCTATACTTTTATCTCCTCATCTCAACGGCGCCGGTGGTGTAGTGGTAAGCGTGATTACCTCTCACCCCAGCAGGCCTGGGTTCAACCCCAGTCGGCGCCGCCGGGATGTTCTGAGGCATAACATCTCTGATCACGCCTTCCTTCGGATGGGAAGTAAAGCCGTTGGTCCCCGGTTCATGAGTTGATTGGTTGATAGGTAGGGTCCAGGAGTGGGAGCTGCCTTCCTGGCACGTCGGTAGCATTGGTGCTCAGCACGGAAAACAAGATCGACGGAAAAAACAAACCAAAGAAAAAAAAAAAAAAATCTCCTCATCTATCGTATAAAATGACCACTTTTAGTCTGATATTTGCCGTTAAACATCTTCAACTATGTAAACCTTTAACTTCACGCATGGAATAATACAAACATGATTAGCTTAAGAACAAAAGTTTGTTTATTTTTCCAGCATACCGGTCAGTTAAATTTAATGTCGATTTGCTCGACTGCTGTGTACAAAACACCTTTTTACTTAAGCAAAACTGCTCGAATGTATCCGAACTTTTTATTCTAGTATAAATAGAAGATTTAATAAATACAATTACCTCTTTAAAACTCGATACTGAAGGGATTATCGAGTTATAGAACAATGATCCTATAGAGAATCACTATCGCAGTTGCGAATTAATTAATTTTTACTATGGTTTTATAGCTCGATATCGAATTAATGAACATCAAGTTGTGGAAACTTGACTAAAAGCTTTTTGACAAAAATAGTATTTGCAGTTTTGTTCAGAAATCATTCTCCATACGGTACGGTACAGCTTCCCCAATGGAAGTGCGAATCTCAACATGGACGAAATTGCCACTTTCGAGAAAGCTCTGTATGCAAATCCCGGTCAGATGTGAGCAACATACCGAATTGCGGAGGAGCAAGCTTTTTTAATTAAGTTCAAATATGAAAAATCGATTTTCATTAAGGTAATGCAGAGACGCTGATATGAATGCTTCATTTTGAATAAAATAATAATTGGAATCTGATAGGCATTAAAAAATGCTGTACCTATGAGGGCAAAACCGACAAAATCAAAATAGAGTAAACAAAGAATTCAGTGTACTATCCTATTTAATTACTATTACTACAATTCCTCACAGTGCTACATTACTACGCTGCTATGCTCTTTCGGCTCAACTGATCAAGTAAACCCACTTTACCTTATATCAAACTAATTTTTCCGGGTTTCTTTCTTATTCAGGACGTGATGATAACTCACAATGCGTCCGCCCGGGTAATTCGTTCAAACCAGAGCCTGGTTCTGCAGAAGGTGAACCGTAATTCATCCGGAAATTACTCGTGTAGTGCAATCAACGCTGAGGGTGAAACCGTCAGCAACGAACTGGCGCTACGGGTCAAGTGTAAGTACACACACACACACAATGAACGGTGCTTATTGAAGCATGTAGTGGAAGTTGGCGAAAAGGCAGATCCAACGGTTGAAGCTTTTTTTTTTGAAAAAATCATAAATTGGTAATTGGTTCAAGGCAATAACATTTTGAACCGTTCTACCACCCCTAGTTCACCTATAAACATGCCGTTGCCAATGGTCCTTGAAACTAAAATATTTGCTCTGCAATTTTCGCTTTTATTTCCTCCAATTGGTTCATCAGTTTTGTTTTCCCATTGTAAAGTTGGCTAGGAGCTGTAGTGAGAAAACTATAATTCTGTGATGGTTGAGTTTATGGGTCTCGTAATTTAATCGTAACAGATGCCCCAGTTTGCGCCACCGATAAAATCATCATTGTGGGAGCCTTCCGCAGCGAACCGTTGCACATACCATGTGAAGTACACGCCGACCCACCACCGCGGCAGTTCTTCTGGAAGTTTAATCATTCGGGCGAAACGCTCGAAATCAACAAGGAGCGATTCGTGAAAAATGGGTCACTGAGCATCTTGAGCTATATGCCCGTCTCGGATCAGGATTACGGTACACTTACGTGCTGGGGACAGAACGAGGTGGGCATGCAGCAGTGGCCCTGCTTTTTCCAAGTGGTCCTTGCCGGTTCGTAGACTGGATAATTCGAAGTTTGTTTTCAATTCTAATGTATTGCTTCCTCCCTTTCCCTACATCAGGATTGCCATCGACGGTGAAAAATTGCTCGATAAACAATCAAACGCAGAGCTCGGTTGAAGTGCAATGCATAGCGGGGTATGACGGTGGTTTACCACAGATTTTCATGCTCGAGCTGATATCAAGTAGAACCGGAAGAATGAGGTAAGCGTGGATTTTAATACAAACACAAAAACTCATTACCTCCATTTGTCATCCCGCAAAAAAAAACAAAAATCCATTTCACGCGTTCTACCCCACTTCCGGCAGATACAATATAACGAATCCCGATGAACCGTACTTTGTGATAGAATCGCTGGAATCCCTCATCCACTTCAACAATCTATACGACGAGCTGGGCGACGACAATGCATTCAAAGCCATCATCTACGCTGTCAATCAAAAGGGAAGAAGCCAGGGAGTAGTCGTTAAGGATTTCTATCTTGAGAGCACTAGCACGGAAAACCGAGCAGGTAGGAATCAATCATCAATCGACGTGGGAATATCAACTATCAATATCAATGTTCCGCATAGCTAATCCATTATTTCACTTTTTCATCCTCCATACTACTGCTACAGTCCTTACAAGCAACCCTCTAGATAGCATCTCACCGATCCTGTTTGGGGTTCTGTTTACTCTGCTGGTGCTGTGTTTCGTTATCTTTGTGCGAATATACTACATCAAAGCCACTACCACCTCCAGCACCATTACGAATGTAAGCAGCGATTTGGTTAACAATAGCAAACAGCACAGCTCCAAGCAGGATTCCTCGTCGAAGGTAAGTTTCCTAAGAGAGTGCATTCCAGTTTGGGATGCGGGATGAGCTTCCGCCCGTTTGGTATAACTGCCATTTGGCATAACTGCCATTTGGCATAAACATATATAAAAAGCTTATGTTCAAAAGAAGACTAAATACCAATTAAATAATTAGTTCCCCTTCCTTTAATCAAAACTGTTTTTTCATATTCTGTTAAAGTATAACAAGGATCCAATATAATTTTTCACATATATGTCAAATGGCAGTTATGGCAAATTACGGGGTGGAGCCGCGAGATGTATTCTTAGTCCCTGCTCCTAGTTTGGGACTGCTGCTGAAATTCAGACATGAAATTAATTTAAAAGTTGAGCTTATATATTTTTATTCAGTCTTTTATTTGGGTCGATGCAAGGCCTACTTCTAACAATTGCTGCGATGTTCATGAACATGATGATGGGAAATGGAACTAACATTCATTGTATTAAATTTTTGGTTTGCGTGTAGTAGCAGCATAAAACAGTTGCGGAAACATCTTTATTACTTATTTAAGTTATAAACAAGTTGCTGCAACTTGTCATGATGTCTGTGAGCTACATGGAAAGATCCTTTCCTTATTTTCTTTACTTAGATTAGTAATTTATAATGCTTGTTAAATGACACACACGAAATCAGGGAAACCGCGAAAAATCCGACCAACCGAGGTTAATAAATTAACAAACTTAAACATTTTCAAATGATTGAACTATAATTTTAAGTAAAAGTATGCAATTTTATAACTTTTGGCCCAATCAGATAATGTGATTGGACAAGTTTTAAAAACGTACCGCGTAAAAACCAGCTCCAGTGTATGTATAATGAAAATGTATGGCCAGCCAGCTTATATGGATTCTAATAAATAGCTCACGTTTTAGCACGCTGTTTTAGAAGCTTCTTACAGAAGCATCGGATTGAAACATATCTAAAAAGATTTTTTTCACATGCTCTTGACTAAAGGTTGTCCACAAAATTATTGCACCACACGAAAAATATTTTTGAAACATCCAACTTTTTAGCCACAGCCAATTAACTTTTTGTTAAACATTTTGTTCATGTACCGTATGCTCATAAAATAACTTGTTGTCGTTGTTGTTCTTTATTTAAAACATTTTACATCCATTGGCTGCTTTCATGTCTGTCTTAGTGGCTATAGGGTGATAATGTGTGGGTGTTTATAGTAAAATTAAATTTTCACTTAGCTTTTGTATCCTTTGCTTGTTTCCTCAACTTCTGGTTCTCTTTTACTTGTTAATTGCATTTCATCTCTTGTTTTCACTTCTTCTTCTTAATCAATTTCCCCGTTACTTTTTCTATCTTTTTATCATCTTCTTTCTTCATCATCTTCGTTTTCTCCGTAGCCTTCGTCCATTTCTTGCTATCCGTCATGATTTTCGATTTGCTCCGAAGCATCCAAGTGCGGTTTCACTTCGTTTCGTTTGCAATCCCCTTCTCGCCATCTTTTGCTTGCTTTTCTTCAATTTCTTCTCTCTTATTTTCGCTTTCTTCGTATTTTTTTTTTTGCTTCGCCGTGAACCCGTGTCTTCTTCTTTCCTTCTCCGATAATTTTTCTGGTTCGCCTTCTTCTTCCACATCTTCGCTTTTTTCACTTTCTTCATTCATTTTCATACATTTCCATTTTCCATTAACTTTTTTCTGCTCTGTCTCCTTCTATTCCGGCTCAGACTTCTTCGGTTTTCTCTCCAACTTCATCTTATTTTCTGCACTTTCTTTTGCTCTTTTTCGCCAGCTCTCGTTCTTCATTCCTTTTTTCGTTATCCTCTTCATCTTCCTCCGTCATATTCACCCCGTTTCATGCGTTCTGTCTACTTCTGTTTCCTCTTCATAATCTTCTCGCTTCTTGTTTTTCTTCGCTTTTCCTTCGTTTCTTCTCGCTCTTTTATCGTGTCACAATCTTCGATATGTGTTGGCTTGTTGCAAAACTTCAGCAACCGCTTTTCTTTGTCATCGTCGTTGCTTAACGCCACATGTAAGCTGGTAAATCGATTTCGTATTTCAATCTGGCTGTTTCAAACTTCTACGTCCCGCAGCATTCGCATACTGGCGGTAACGATTTTCAAAATAAACTCGTGTGTAAGCCTTGTATAGCCAATGCGAAGCCGAACGGTGGAACTTTGCTGATCGGTCCACTTTTTGGTTTCGCGTTTAACCTCCTTCAACTTGGCTTCCGTTAATTGCGCCCACCGTTCTTCCCATAGCAGGCGAATGGCATGGTTCATTGATGGCATCCTTCCTCGAGATGACGACGTTGAGTGGCGGACTGTTGCGTGCTTTGCCGGCGAGTCAATGTGCTTCTTCATTGCCACGGATGCCGGCGTGGCCGAGAATCCAACAAAGTTGTATCGGGCGGGTTACCATGTCGTAACAGCCCTTCGATCTCTTGAATCCAGAGATGCTGTGATTTGCCACTTTCTATTGCCAATAGGCAACTTTCCGAGTCGGACAAGATGACCAATTCGCTCGATATACCCGTGTTGAGAGCTGATTTGATAGTAAAGGCCTCCGCCGAAAAAACGCTACACTGTGACGGAAGCCCTATTGCTCTATGCAGACTGCCACAGATTCCACCAGAACCTACTGTACTCTTCTCACGTCCCACACAATAGGTGGCTATGGTTCATGCAACCTTTGGTTGGTGAAACGTGTCCACATTGCAATGTCCGGGAGTCGTAGATGAACATCATAAGCCGGTCGAATGCTCGTTGTACAACTGGGAGGTCGACATTTCTGTCTGACATTTTTTCCAGCAAGTGGATGGCAGCACGAACTAAAGTCTGAAGAACTAGGAGGTCAAACGGTAGGGTACTCGCTTCAGTCATAATCACTGGAATCGGGCTGGTGACGTACGCTCCAGAGGTGAAACGGGCCATCCGGTTGTAGACGGGTACAAGATTTAGGATGACGGAATCCTTCGCTCTGCTGACGAGTCCAATGCCGTACAGAAGCCACGAAGTGATGATTGCCGAGCGGATACACAACAAAGAGTCACGTTGCCTACGCGGAATCGTAGACTCGATCATTTTCAGGATTTGCAGCCTAGAGTCGCATGCAGTTTTAACTGTCTTGCAATGTTGTTTGAAAGTCAGTGTCCGGTCGAGAGTAACGCCGATGATCTTCAGTCGATCGATGTATATATCATTGCTGGGCTCCCGACGGGCGTTTGGACTACCGCACAGTGCACTATGGGCAAAAATGGGTCCAAAATTACCCAAAATTCAATATCTCAACAGCACGCTGAATTCTGGCCATGAAAAACGACTTTTCCGAAGAGAAATCGTTCGGGAAATGAATTGCACGTGGTCCCATAGACTAAAGCCCTACAGTAAAAGTATGGACGACTGTCACCACAAAACTGAAAAAAAGCTGTTCCAATCGAGCAAAGCGGTGCATTTTGACGGTTCGATTGGAACAACTTTTGACAGACGTCCATACTTTTACTGTAGGGCTTTAGTCTATGGGACCACGTGCAATTCATTTCCCGAACGATTTCTCTTCGGAAAAGTCGTTTTTCATGGCCAGAATTCAGCGTGCTGTTGAGATATTGAATTTTGGGTAATTTTGGACCCATTTTTGCCCATAGTGCACTGTGCGGTAGTCCAAACGCCCGTCGGGAGCCCAGCAATGATATATACATCGATCGACTGAAGATCATCGGCGTTACTCTCGACCGGACACTGACTTTCAAACAACATTGCAAGACAGTTAAAACTGCATAAGATATAACTTTGTAGATGAGAATTTCAGTCTAAAAATTCAAATTCAGCCTCAAAACATATCCTTCCACCTAAATCTGCATTCTGGACCACTGTGCACTGATACCAGGAACAGGGTGATCGAAAGTACTGATCATTGAGGAACGCCGTTCTCCAATGGCTTTTCATGCGATGAATGTCCTTTCACGTTCGAGGCGAGGAAACTGTTCAGCACGTTGAACATTTTCGTAGAGTACACAATATGACAAATCTCCAGCTAGTGTCGTACGCCTTCGAGAGATCAAGCGATGCTTGAGACATTTTAAATCATTTTCTCAAAAAAGCGTACTAACAACAAGTTCAAAAATTTCACCAAAAGTCCTTTCCAACAATTTTTGTCGGTTTTGAAGTGTTCATGATTTTGAACATTTAAAGGTTTTCACTTTTCATAAGCTTGTTTTTGAAAATAAAATTTTAGAAACCGGGCAAGGGCATTTTGAAATATTTGGACTTTTTATTTATTTTTTTGTTTTTAACAAAATTTAATACAACTACACATAGATTCATACAAATTGATGAAAGCCGATTAAAACATTCTGCTCAGAAGCTTCTTTTAGCAACATTTTTATGATCTTCCATAAGAAGCTTATTCTACATGCTTGTCCGTCATTCTGCTCCACTAAGTAAAAAAACACGGACAGGACAGTAAATCTGTGTAGCTACGCAATAATGGAGAATTCTTCAAAGGTTTGATGATGATGATGATGGTCCCACCTCTTACCCCTACAAAGGTTGGCAAACAAAATCGAACTGGTTGCAGTTACAGATATAAATTCCCTCTAGAGTTTACAGTTGCTTCACAGCGATATAAATGTGAAAAAGCTCAGGCGTCCACCTCTTAGTTCGCCTTTTTGTCTACCTAAAATATTCATAAGTATTACAAGCAATCAAGAGTTAACGAACAATCAACAAAGCATCCTATTACACTATCAACTACGCAAGATGCTATCATAATTTTCAGCAATGTCAGGAATGCTCACGAGCCCCTAACATTTGCCAGAAAACTTACTACTAACTCAAGGTATCTTTCAAATAAGCTTCAAAATTGCATTTTTTTTTTATCAAACGTTAAATTCAGTCCTCTATATCCGTAATACGCGCGCGAGGCTCAAACCTTTGTAGACTACTTTTTTTTTAAATTAATCTACTATTAAATCAAATATTAAAAATCCATCATCACCCTCGTGGCGAACAGAAATAGTTTTTGCAGTGCTA